GGTACGGGGCGGGGAATACCCGAATTTTTTAAATGGTTAATGGTGCGGTTATGGTTCTATACTAATCCACCCCGTTATCCGCCCCGAAACCGCCCCGTTCACTAGTGTTACGGGTACCCGCACCGTTACCCGATCGATAACATTATTAATAAATTATAACTTTATATGTATAAGAATAATAACTATATATGCTAAATTGTGTATAATAAATAGTATATATCATATAAATAATGCTAAAAAGTATACTATTTTTTTAGGCCTAAAACTAAATATAGGCCTAAACCTGTTTTTGAAATTTGGATTCTGGGATGATTACTACTTTTTTATTATGTTACAATAGATATTGGGTACATGTCATACTAATGAATTTAGGTCAGTCTGCTTGATTGCTTAAATGTTTATTTTTGTATGTTTTAGGGTGTTTTAAATATATAAATACTTCCTCCGTCCCCTATTAAATGTCCCGTTTTACCATATTGGGATGTCCCTATTTAATTGTCCCATACCTTATTTGGTAAACTTTGTGTGGCTCAAAATCATTCTTACTTTATTCTTACTTTATCAATTAATATCAACCACACAAACTCACTTTTCTTAAAACCCGTGCCACCATCTCCCGTCCCATTTAAAAGGGGACGGAGGGAGTAACAAATAGGATTAAAAATTGGTTATTTGTTTTTCCCAAAAAAAGTTGGTTATTTGGTATCATTTGGGGAAACGGTTACCCGTGGATAAACCGATTCCCTGTTGGGACGGGTACGGTTCAAATAAAAATTACCCGAATGGGTAATGGGGCGGTTTTGGGGCAAACATTTATCCAACGGGGCGGTTCCGGTTTTATGTGTACCCGTCCCCGATCCGCCCCGTTGCCATCACTAGTGATATCTTATTTTTATGGCTGACCACTTGGCCAGTGGGATGACCGAGTATCAACTCTTACTGAACTATGTATGCATTACAGGTCCATATTTTATTTTTTAGTAGGTCAAAGCTGATTGATTATTTAATTATAAATTGTTGACACCTTACAAATAAGTTGAATCACATTATAATCAATTTGAAGTTACGTATTCAGTATTCAATTTTCATTTCTAGACAATGTGTTTAATTCGCTAATAACAACTTTGAGTATCACATAGTCTATATAAAAAAGAATGAGGAAATTGGTTCGTCTAAGAAATTATCACATAAAATTCCACCCGTTTTGACTCTTGGATTTCCAAAGTGAAAATAACAATTTAGGATCCGTTTTGATTCTTTATTTTTCTAAAGCTCAAATCAGTTACAGTGTAATTGAAGAATCTGTAATACAAAAATATCTTTTTAGTAGTTTATTGGAAAATCTATATTATCTAACATTGGAGGTCAAGTGACTAGAAATATATACAAGATTTATCTTAATTATCTAACAATTACAAGTTATCTATTCCACGGTGTGATAAGCTTATCTCAAATTTTTACTCATGCATATTATATTGTGAGTAATTTAAGGTTGGCGAACTTCATGCAAATTAAAAAATCGTTCTTTTTTGTAAACTAAGGTTTCATGTTAATTTTCCAATTAAACAATATGCCACGGTATATGTGGTATGTTACAGTTTCGGGGGTGCCAAGTAGAAATGACTTGAAGTTCTTGATATGCGACGATGATGGAAATAAGAAAATTGCAGAACATGTTGTCTACAAGGAAGTATTCAATTATTTGTGAATTGTGTGTTTATTAAACTTGCAAGTTTGTGTTACTATGTATTACGTAGTATTTATTTATTAATGGTTACTCTTATTTGCGTGATATAAAAATAATGTAGTCTATAATATCATTTATAAGTTAACATTTATAATATTTGGATTTTACATCCCGTGCAACGCACGGGTGAAATGCTAGTATGGATAATGTTTTAGAAGCTGCCTTGAAAAGCTTCTAAATTAAAAACTACATAAATAATTTTTAATTTAGAAACTGCTCAAGGTAGAAATAGTTTTTTTTCTTTTACTCCTGGGGAGGTAGAATTAATTTTATCACATATTTAGCCTTTATCAAACAATTACAAAATGTATCTTTTCAATTAGATGTTTACAAAAAAAAAGTCATCTTCAAGATAATTTTAGCATTATCACTGAACGCGTTCAATGACTCTATTTTACAACTTATCAGTTTTATCAACCAATTTTTTTTAGGGAAAATGGAAACTAATAATCCAACCTTTTAGCGGTCTTCTTACAATAGTCCCACATTTTGATTATTCATGAATAATCCAACCTTTGCACCTCATCTTCATTCACTGGTCCCTGACCGGTTGATGACCTGCTATTCCAAGTTATTTTCTTATCTTTGCAAAATATTATCTTTGTGAAAGGTGAGATTTATGGTATAATGGTTTGAAAAGATAAGAAAATAACTTGGAATAGTAGGTCATCAACCGGTCAGGGACCAGTGAATGAAGATGAGGTGCAAAGGTTGGATTATTCATGAATAATCAAAAGGTGGGACTATTGTAAGAAGAACGCTAAAAGGTTGGATTATTAGTTTCCATTTTCCCTTTTTTTTTATCAAATGCATAACTTATTATTTTGTGCGTTGTTGTGTAATAAGCAAAATAAATAAAATTGGAGTTACTTTTTTTTCTACAATGGCTGAAATTACCGTAGAGTATCCTTTTATCTATTTTTTTCATATAATTTTTTCTTTATATTATTTATAAAATATATTTTAAATATGTAGCCTAATTTCTCCATAAATCAGTAAAATAAGTCAATCCAGCCACTTTCGCCATAAACTAATAAATTTCAGCTAAATCAGTCGATGCAACCCATTTCAGTGCTACCAAACGGGCTCTAAATTTTTCTTTTTTTGGAACAAGGCGGCTTAAATTGATATCAAAACATTCAGCAAGGGAACAAGAAGATAAAAAGACCACTTCCAAGTTCCAACTTCCAACCACCGACCCTCGAATCAGACTTAGAGTCAATCACTCAGAAAAAAGCAATATGACTCGTGGATCCTGTAATGGGTCTAAAAGAGTCTAACGTCGTTAGAGTAAACCCCTTATTGTCCCAACCTAATGCAAGAGTCTGGAAAAAATAAGCGTACATGACAAACAAAACAACATGTAATTCGAAGTAAAAACACAAACAAAGCAAAACAGAAATAGAAATAGTTGTCCAAACTAGGGGTGGGCAATTCGGTTTACGGTTCGGTTTTCGGTTCGGTTTCAGTTTATTCAGATTGGGAGAATTTGTACCAAACTAAAACCATTTGTGTTTCGGTTCGGTTCGGTTTGAAGTTCGGTTTACCAAAGTAAAAAATATTATGTTTAATTTAGTTTGATTTGATTCGTTTGCTTATGTTTATTATTTTATTTGATCCAATTCTATATTTTAGAATTAGAAAATGAAAGTAGTAGTCTATCTCATCTTTTTTTAAATTATTGATTATTTAAATAAAATGTAAAAGGAAATAAAAGATAGAAAAATAAATAATAAAATATATTAAATTAAAACTTCTAACAACTTTTTAATCACTACAAAAAATTCATTTCTTACAAAAAGTAAGATAGTTGATTAGCATTTATAATATCACATAAAACATTCAAAAAAACTAAAAGAATCGATGGTACAAATGTTGTAATATTCACAATTTTATTCAAATGAATCATATAAATATATAAATGCAATTTGCTATTGTTATCGCCAAACATAATAAATACAAATATGTCGTATTAGCTAACTTTGTCATAATGAATGTATGAAATGTGTAAAAGTTAAAATGATACGAGTATATGCTTAAATATGTATTTTCATGTCTAAATTATTTATTGATATCTTAAAAATGAAGAGTGAAGATAAATACAAAGTGTGTGTGTGTGTGTGTTGTTCGGTGTTCGGTTTGGTTTACGTTTTTTCCGTTTTAAACCAAACCAAACCAAAGTACCAAACCATTCGGTTTGACCAAATGTTTACCAAACGGTTTACTTAAGTAAACCCAAACCAAACCAAATCAAACCATCAATTTTAATAATATATGAAAGTTTTTTTGAGTTTCTTTAGTTCGGTTTTATTCGGTTTTTATCGGTTTCAGTTCGGTTTGGTTTAATACGGTTTGGAATAAATAGTATCAAACTCAAACCAAATTGCATACGGTCTGGTTTCGGATCGGTTTGGTACAGTTCGATTCAGTTAAACCAAACCGTTATGACCACCCCTAGTCCAAACTCTAGTCGCACAATTCCTCCATGGCGACGATTCAGGAGGGGGACGGATCAACATCTCTTCATCTTCTTTTGCTCGTAGACTCTTGTTTGGAGCCTCTTCCTCGCCCGCGACCTCCTCGTCTAGAATCAAATCGTCCTCATCACCCCCGAGAATCATGTTATCACATTTGTTGACCATCTCCTCCATCTCTGCTATAATCGTTCGTTCAATAGCCCGCTTACGCTCGAAGCAATGCCTCTGCCTTGCTGCGAGCCTGCGAATTTGTTGCCCTGGTCTACTAGCCCTCCACAGAAAGGACGATGTTGTTTCGCCGCTGAAAACTTTCTGAGCTACTGCAACCACACCGCCACACCAAGGAACAACAAATATCAACACCTTCGGATCCAATGAACAAACTATTCACCACAGGAAAAAACAACTAGGATTTACCTAGACACGACCGCCAGAAAATCAGGTTCCTAACTCCTTCAAAACCTGCAATGCGCTGTTACGCCATCATTCCTTAATAGTCCATCGACCTGCTCTGTTGCAACTTGCAAGACTACAGCAAGAGTGCGGTGGACAGAACTGGTCACCCAAAGCAGCTTCGCTTAGTCTTCAACGTCGCTGCCAGCTTGCGGCCATCGAAGGTGTTGTGTAGTGTTTCTCTCTTTGGTGGCTTGGTGTAATTTGGTACGGAGTATCAATAATTTTTTCTTTAACTTTTCTGCACAACTAATCATATTTCATAGCATTCACTTGGTGTGAAAGTGGTTTTCCTCATCACTTTTATATAGAAATAATCAAAATGCACATCGAAAAGTAAAGGGTGAGATATACAAACACAAGTTACACAATACCAAAGCCAATTCCATTACACGATGGGTTTTCCCCCAAAGAGAATACACAACACACAATAGAATACAAATACAACAAGTAGCACTTCCAACTTTGCTACATTATTATTACATATTAAAACGAGAGAATGCAGCTAAACAAGAGATGCTTGCAAAACTAGGGATTGGGAAAATAGATAAATAAAACAACCACAAAGGTTGTTGAGGCAGACCACAAAGAGTAGAACTCCCATCGCTGCCCCAGCCAATGCCCCCGGAAAGCAAAAGCATCGGATTTAAGAACTGCCAAAGCAAGCAAGCAACCAAACCGACCACGAAAAGCAACACAGATAGGTTCAACCCCATGGTAACACACAATAAAAACTAGGAAGCCAAACACACCAGGAGATTATATATAAATCTTTCAACCAAAGCCAGACTACAAGCATTAAGCTAAAACCTTTTTTTTTCTTTTCTTTTCATGAACAGAAGTTAAAACCTGAAGAGGAACACCAAGAGCCTATTAGATCCAGAATTCCCAGCATCTGTATTAATCACAGAAAAGTATGGCCATGAAGAACGAATCCCTCCCATCACCGGAGAGAGAAAAAAAGTTCTTGAAACAGCTTCCAGAAGCTTCCGGAAGTTGAAAAAAAGGCCACATTTCCTGGAAAAAGGAGCTGAAACTCCGGACCCACAACCCAAGGCAGACCCAAAAAGTATACTACCAAGAACATAACCAAACAACAATCACTATCCTCAATCAGGTAAGGATATCACACCTGCAGAGCCTTTCAACTAGCATATCAACACCATGCTGGCTGATTCCATGGCAACTCTGAATGTTCAATCCTGTGAGACTGGACCCCACCTTACACAGGTAAGGCAAGCACTTGTCTGACACCGAAGTACACCCAGAGAGGGAAAGGATCTGAATAGTGGTCTGAACCGGACCGACCGCCAAAGCCGCAATCCCGGAATCACTAACCCTAGATTTAGACACATCAAATTCACGCAGCACGGAGCAATGTTCTGCAATTGCATATAAACTCTCATCAGTAACTCTTCCACACCCATCAAGATTTAGCAGCTCAAGTGTCTCTCCGTGTATTTTAACCATGGTTGAAATGGTCTTGTCGGTCACATTAACACACCCGCTTAGGTTCACCTTGACCAAACCCGCATCACATCCTTGAACAAAGGGGAGAAGCCCATTATCCGTAACACCATGGAGCCCACTGATGTTCACATTCACCAAATTAGGGCATATTCTGCCCAAAATCACAAGGATGTCATCGTTAAATCCAGTGCAGTTAGAAATTGACAATGATCTGAGAGACTTGCAAGGGGAGGACAACATAGCAGCAGGATTCATGCCAAATGCCAAATCTTTGATTCCAAAACAGTTCTCTAAAGAGAGAGCTTTCAGTTTCCCGCAAGAGAGTATAAGGATGCCAAAAACACCTGCCTGGGTGATCCTGTGGCACTCGTCCAACTGTAGGCTCTCAAGAGATGAGGCAAATTTCACAAGAGACACCGCTCCATTGTCGGACAGAAAAGGGCATTTTCGGAAACAAATTTGTTTCAAGTTTGGGCAACCTTTTCCCAAAGCTTCCACTCCCAAATCCGTTACTCCCAAGCAAGATGCCACCACTAGTGACCTCAAATTCTGTAGACCCTGACCATTACCCATGACCCAGAATCCTTTCTCATTTATGTTTTGAAGACTGGCCAGATTCAGATCGGTCAAAGCAACGCCATAATGTCCAATAACTGCTAGGGAGATGTCACTTAGGCTTAAAGACTGGAGTTTGACGTTGGTGAGATGCATACCAGCTGATGTGAAAAGACTTGCAAGTCCCTGATCTCCGATAAGTGGACAGCTCTTCACTGTTATGGACTTCAAATTCAGGCAGTATTTACCAACAGACTGCAAACTTTCATTTCCAATGTTCAAACAAGATTCTATGGTCACAGAAGTCAAATTGGGGTTGTTTTTGGCAATTGCAGTCAAAGACTTATCTGTGATTCTCGGGCATTGGGTAAGATCCAGCTTCTCTATCAGATGGCACCCACTTGCAATCTCTAGTAACCCTTCGTCACTTATGTTTGATAAGTTCCAGAGAGAAAGAGATTTGAGGGAAGGACAACCTCGACCGATAGCCTTGAGGCCCAAATCCGTCACGCTGGAAGATTTGCTTCCACGGATGGATAACTTACCCAATCCTCCACGGCTGGTGATCCCCAGAGCAATAGATGCAAGTCTAAGATCTGTAGCTTTCTTCCCATCAAGGCACCTCGAGAGAAACCCACAATCCTCATTTCCACCTTCAACCTCCACCTCACCTTCCAGAACATTACTAGGGAGGACAACCTCATCCTTCTTATTATCAGACTTGACAGAAAGGTCTGGTTGAGCAATGGACGGATTTGCCCTTTCATTCGTTTCTGAGGGTTTGCTGTTGTTTTCATCAGCAGTGGTTATTTCATCTCTGCTGACAGTACTTAGAAGCATGAGCCAGCGTTTGGATACGCCAGCACAGGCACTTCTTTCCTGCCCACCAGGCAGGCGTCTGAGAATCTCAAAGAGACATTCATCCGGAAGGACGTCAATGGAAGCTTCCGACTTTTTCTGTTGGAATTCTTGTCCACGAAATACAAAAGGTGCGCTGATGCGAGACCTCTTGCGAGAGGGAAAAAACACATCTGCTTGGTGGCCGAGAGACAAGAAGAGGAGAGAGTCCTTTTGATTAGGGTAGACTGGCCCTCCAAGGCAAAAATCATCAACACCTGCAATGTTAATATAAAATTCATAAGCAAACAAATAACAACAACCCACAGCAACAAAATAAGCAGAAAAAATGCTGTACAAGTAGGCACAGAAATCTCATACTTCTAGCCCATGGGGCCTGTCACTACTACAAGAAGAAGCTTTCATGTCACGCATATTACGACCGTTCCATAAGAACTGACGTTGTAGGGGCGTATATAATATTCCACGTCAGTTTAATTTTGAAACCGTCGTTATACGTTCTACGTTCATCCACTTATTTCCCTTTTCTCGTCTGTTTTAATGTGAACGGACGTCATTGGTAATTAAAAACTCGCTTAAGATTAAATAGAAAATCTTTATAACCCGTTTAACCCTAGAGCAAATCAGAAAGTATCATATGCACACAACCTTCTAGCCGCCTGCAGCAAGCGCCTCCGAGATAGAAGAGAAGTAAAATGGGAGATGGAGATGGAGATGGAGATGGAGATGGAGATGGAGATGGGGACACGCAGACTCTCAGGCACGAGAAAATTAAGTAGGCGTCTGTAATTCCAAACAACTTTAGTCGGAAGACCGGTAACTACTTCGGGAATTTGCATCAGTGGTGTGAAAATCCAACAACAAACTGCAACCCATAAATACGAAATTAGAGACTCATTTCACCGTTGTTGGGTCAGGCTCTGGGCGCGCGTCTCAGTTGAATTTGGAGTCTCAGTTCCTTCAGGTTTCTTGACCTTTCTTGTTAAGATTTCTACTTTTCACTCATCCCGAATGATGACTCGGATCAGATTTCCCCGATGATTTCAGATGCTAAATAAGCATAGGAGTTGCAGTTTCAAGAAGCATCCCCGCCCAGATTTCTTCATTGCTGGTATGTATTATCATTTATTGTGAGTTTTAGATTGCCTCGTGTGTATAACTGTCAAAAATAGGGTTTGTGTTGAATTTCGTTAATAATATTGTTGTTTTATGGATTATTTTGATTCTAATTTTCAATTGCCCTATAATAATATTCATGATGATTTTTTCAATGTAATTTTTCTGCTCCTGCTAAATTTCCTAAGATATTTTTGCTTTATATTTGGTTCTTTGAGCATCGTATTGAATACGCATATGTCCAGTGAGGCTCTCCTCCTTAATTGAAAAAAGTTATTCTTAGACCAAGTCTTGATAATGTCTGTAATATTGAATGATATTTAAATTTACTTAGAAAAGAACAAGGATGTTTATTCATGAGATACTTCAAAAATTGCTCTGGCCACATTTCTTGAAACTTGTTTCCATCGTTAACCTGTTTACAAGGGTTCTAGATAGCCTAATCCCTTTAAAAAAACTTTTCCATCGTTAGCCTCTTTTCAGTGGTTCTGGATAGGTAAGTATTGGGTTTTCACATTCTTTTTTGTGTTACTTTTTGTATGTATATGAGTGTAGATAAAGTGTTCAATAAAATATTTGAAAGGTCGTATGATTACTATTTCCACTTTGTTAGGGGCATATATGTCTTGGTTAGAAAAGAACTCAAAGATTTAGGAAACCCGCTGAGAAAGAGAACAGAGGATCGGACAGATGAATATGAATTTACGTTTAGGTACTTCTATTAGCCCATTGCTTTATTTTGTTGTAATTTTAATATTTCTTTTTGGAAGACTCGGAGAGCTTTGAAATTTTGACAATTCAAAAACTGTTGTAATAAAATATGTGGTACTGCTGTGAGATTGGATTTTGTATCTATTTGGGGTGATGTATAGCCAAGGACTGATTTAGCAATAAAAATATCTCTATGATTTCTGAATTTCAATATGCAATTCATCACTAAGCATAAGTTTTTTTTTCCTGATCTAAATTCTAAATTAATTATTTTCCCTCAAAAGCTGTGGCTTGTCAGGTGTGAGGCATCTATTTTGACTAAAAGGGGGAGCTTTGGAGAGACACATGGGTACTAGCATAGGGTGAGGTTAGTTTATCCTGTGATATTTTTCTTTCATTTCTTTATTAATCGATGAAAAACTCAGATTATTTCATAATTCTAAGTCATATTTATTTTTTAATCTTGGTTGTGTTAGATATTGTTTTACAGATCATTCATTTGATGGAATGTTGATAGTTCACAGTCTATATATCCAGCCACAAAGAAGTAATTCCCCTTTGAACTTTTGGTTATTATATGATATTTAATCCTATACACCAAGATATCGTTTTATACCATTTTATGTATAACTCAAGACTCTATAAAGATATTAGCTTCTATTGATTGATGTTCCAGTAAGCTTGAATATGATTCATTCAATTTCTGTTTGATTGATATAAGGGTTTTCGCACAATGATCATTTTTCTCTTTTTCTATGAGTTCAATCTTGCTCTCAAAAGGGAAATGTCTGGGTCTGTCTACTGATTGTTAGGAAATCTGTCTGCATATTGTTTCACTGAAGCAATTGAGATGGATAATGAAGAGGCTCTATAATATTGTTAATGATAAAGTATTAAATTGTTTCCAGTTTTTTTTTTTAATGGAATGTTGTACTCCATTTGATAATTCATCTTATTCTATGATTGTTAAATGACTTAAATCAGTAGCTGGTGTGCTCTACTTTGTTTACAGTGTACTGCATCTATCTTTGATAGTTTGATCTATCCTCAAAGAACTGCTCAGCTTGTGGCTACTTTTTTTTTATTGATTTAGTTGATTTCAATGGAAGTGTTTTGAGAATTTCATTTCAGTCTTCGAGATATAAGAAGAGGTCATGGTGATATTATTCAAAGATAGTGTATGATCGTGTTTGATTTTCTGTTTTTTCTAACACTTATATTTTCTTGTTTTGCAGGTCTTTAACAAGAGCATGCATTTTTTTGCACATCAATAAGAAGAGAACCATTGAATTGTATGCAGTATGAATTGTCCTTTGCGTAGGGATATTGATGAGATTGATTTGCTAGTCTTTAGTTTCTCTCTAAGTTTTTTGTATATAGTTCCGAAATGTGTATTTTGATACTCTAAATTTATACACTGGTGGTAGTTATAGGAATTAACCAACTGATAGGAGCATGTAGCTGGTAGTTGTATAACACCAACGCTAGTAGTTTCTATGTATTTTTTTTTTTAATAAAAAAATGGCTTACAACGTCGGTTTTATTTGACAACAGACGTAACATGTATTTTTTTTATTTTCTGAATATATATTGAACGTCAGTTTTTTGAGACAACCGACGTAATACGTATTTTTTTATTTTTTAAAAATCATATTCGACGTCGGGTTTTTAACGTAACTGACGTGGGAGGTTACATTGAATTTTTAAAGTCTACTTTTTACGTCGGTTTTCTAACCGACGTTAAATGTTCCTACTTTTTACGTCTCTCACTTACACGTTTCTTTGAAACCGACGTGAAAAGTGTAAAATAACCGACGTGAAAAGTCACTTCTGTAGTAGTGTGTTGAGCAATTTTTATCTGGCTGAGATGGATAATCATCATGAACGGTTGAGCTTTTTTAACATTCATTTCAACCAACATTTGAGTGAAAAACTATTCACTCTAACAATAAGCAGAAATAGTCAATTACAGGTGCCAATCAGGTCCTAAGCTTTGCGGTAGATCTAAAAATAGTAGTATTAATCAATAAAAATAGATCTTTTGCTTGTCATGGGGACAAGCAGGTTCTGCTAAACGCAACTCGATCTCTCAGCCCTGATTGGACCGTTCTAATCAGATCTTGCCATCAGAGGAAAATGAATGCTCTAATTATCTCTCACAGATCCACTAGACACTTTCACAGATACTAACTAGCAGCCTAGCAATTAGATGGAATCCGGGTAATGATAGCCACATATTTATACATCATATTATGAACAGATCTTAATCTAAATTCTACTTAGATGGCACGAAAACAAATATATAATCCAAGACTCAATGAAGCTTCACTAAATGCTACATTAACAATTCTTTAAAAGGGCAAAACTCTTCTATAAAAGAACCAGAAACAGAATCAGAAGTACCAAACTAAATTACAAATTTAGATTCGCCATAAAGTTATGCTTTCACAAACAGATAAATAAAGATCATAGTTAAATTAAATCTTTAAGCAAATCCCGTCCAGGAATGAAACGCTTACCACTGAATTCAAAGAGCTTAGACATGTATGTAACTGGGAAATCCTATAAAGATCGAATCTTGATGGCAAGAGACCAAAAACCCCTCCAAAGAGAGCAAAAAGTGACAGACTGATGAATAACAACAGTGTGATTATGAATTGTAGAGGCTGAAGAACTGAATGCATCAGAAAGCTGAGAGGCAATAGGTCATGGAGAAACCCTATCAAGAAGGGCAAAAAATGAATCAGAAAATAATGGAAAGCAAAGAATTGGGTCAGAGGCTAATGGGGGGTGGGGTGTTTATACAATGTATCTATGGATTTTCAGGGTGGGTGGCCACTTTGGCTTTTTCTTTGCTGTATTTATCATTCTTTGTTTGCATTTACAGGCAGGTGCGATGTTGGGTTATTTCCAACTTTTTTTTACATATTATTAAATCATTATTTTCTAGAGGGAGGAATGATGAGAGGTAGAAGAGAAAGCAGAGTTCTGTACATGCAATGAACCCAGACCTAAAAGCCGGAAAATGTCATATTCAATGTTTCTATTCTGTTTTGTTCACTCAAATTCAAAACAAAAAGTTGACAAATCCATATCCCCAGATTTGCCCTACCAGAAATATTCATTTATTATATTGTCCATCAAATAATGCACAATAGATTTATGTATGTGTGGATGAACAACGGCCATTCGATCCCTATATTCCGTAATTATTATCATGCCACTTTCTATTTGGAAATAATGGAGGTTATTAAATCTGAATTTTTTACTAAAATAATGCTGAAAATAAAATATATACAAAATTGATGTTGAGTTAAAACATTTTACCAAAATGCTGCTGATCAAACTGCGGTTAACTAAATTGGCAATCCAATTGGGTAACGGAAGAAGCAGGTTCCTCGTGACAAAGGAGGAGATGAGTATTAGTGGGACCAAGCAAAACAAATAAACCTTATTTAAAAAAAAGTGCTATAACTTTTATATTTAAACTCCGATTGTTACAAAAATTATATCAAAATTCATAATTTTTTATTATCTTTTATATGACACCAATATTGAATATATAAAAAATTAAAAACAATTTAGCACTTTAAGAAATTCCGTTTTTTAAAGTGTTACTCCATATAATTGTTTTACTGTACTTTCATATACTTTCATAATAAATGTAATAAAAAATTATGAATCTTGATAAATTTTTGGGAAAACCGTCAAATACGTCCTCGAACTTTCATAAAAAGGTAAATAAGTCCTTATATAGGAGTCTCTGTCCGGCCATCGCGATTTGGGGCGGTCCCGGTGGAATTTTTTGATGAAAATTTTTGAGCATCTTATTCATCAAGTCTAGTCCACTCATACCAAATTTCAACTAAGACTTTAATCGGGAACGCATTCAAATTAATTCTTGAAGATAACTGCGCATTTAACTGCAAAGTTCGAGGACCTATTTGATAGTTTTCCATATATTTTTTAGAGCATTGGAGTACAAAAAATTATAAGACTCTAAAAAATAGATTTTTAAAGTATTAAATCATTGTTTTATTTTTACCTATAAAATATGAAAAATACTTGGTGTACACCATTTTGTGTACACCATTCCCACAAATTATTTGTCTACGCACTCATAATTGTCTGTTACTGACAACTCTATAGTTCCGAATAGAATTGTGTATATACATATAGCTTTGTCTGCGTAGACAGACAATGTGTGTGAATAGTGTACAGGAAGCATTCCTCATAAAATATTGGATTTGCTTCTTAAAATTGTGTTTGCTCCTTCATGCAACAAAAGCAGATATTGGAGTGCTTCAGTGAAAGTGAAGAGGTACTTTTGGTGCTCTAAATTACTCATTGAAGTACTACATAGTTTTTAAGAAGTTGAGGGAGATTAGCTTTTGACAAACTTTTTCAGATTCAGCTTATGCTTTTAAAAAAGAACAGAAGCATAATTACTTCCAAACACTCCCATAGTGTCATATTAAAATTTATGATTTTTGATATTGTATGTTTTATTTAAATAATTGGAGTCCAATAAAAAATAATAACACTTTAAAAAACACAATTTGTTTAAAGTGGTAAATTATTTTCAAATTTTTATATATTCAATATTGGTGTCATATGAAAGATAATAAAAAGTTATGAATTTTGATATATTTTTTGTAACAATCCGAATATAAATATAAAAGTTATAACACATTTTTTTAAATGGGATTTTATTTATTTTGCTCGGTCCCACTAATACCTCAAGTCCTCATTGGATTGGATTGGTAACCAGAGTTTGTTGAGCAGCATTTTCGTAAAAAGTTTTAACTCAACATCAATTTGGTATATATTTTATTATTCAGCATTATTTTAGTAAAAAACTCCATTAAATCTAGTCACAATAATTATAGCGTTTTGTCACGGTCATAGAGTCTGGTGCAGCGCACAGCGCCCGAAAATGACTAGTGCAAATGACGACCTTACCGAAATCCAAGCAGCGGATAAGACCAACGCCGTGGACCGGAGAGCCACGCAAGGAAACCGAAACCCACATCGAGTAGCGCAACTACTCATGTCACGCCATTGCAACCAACCGAAACCGACTAGCGCACACGGCGACCATACCGAAACCCATGCAGCAGAAAGACCAACGTCGTGGACCGGAGAACCACGACCGAAAACCGAAACCCACATCGAGCAGCGCAACTACTCATGCCACGCCATTGAAACCGACCAAAACCGACTAGTGCAAACAGCGACCTACCGAAACCCAAGCAACGGAAAGACCAACGCTGTGGACCGGAGAGCCACGCAAGGAAACCGAAACCCACATTGAGTAGCGCAACTACTCATGCCAGTGTCACGGACATAGAGTATGGCGCTAGCCAGTGTCACGGAGCGTTGGTCGTGACCGTGTTGGCTCAATGATTAGGACAAACCGACTGGCTAGCTAGACGGGCGAGGCATGGGGGAGGCAATAGCGTCAAGGGGAGTTCTGCCTTAGACGCTAAGGTCTGGCCGAGTAGGGCATGTAGGGCTTGACTATGAAGGAGACGGAGGCAGATTCGAAGGCACAACTGGTCGGGAGCTATTGTCGTTCCCCTCATGAGCCCAAGGCAGGACGAAACCAGTCCGGTTCTGTATAAGAGCAAGGCTTGTCTGCGGGGATGTGAGGGACCCCGGGACGCCGCACGGGCGCTGTGCGCTGCGCCAGACTTTATGCCCGTGACAAATGGTATCAGAGCGGGCCGGGCTTATATTGTCGCGTGTTGTGGTGGGATCCTCGTGAGGGATGAGGACTATGCGAGCATGGTGGCTTTAGGGCTGGTACGTACTGATGACGGCTCCACTCCTGATGGTCCGCAGGGGCGGATGGGTTCCTGAGAGGATGGGGACTCGGGTGGCCACCAGCACAGCCGAGCTGCTTGAGAGAGAGGCGGTCCTGGCAATGCGGCGCGTTGACAATATTAAGCACGATGATCTTTGGGCAGAGTCATCTCCCATAACACGAGGGCGTGCTAGAGTTTGGGTGGGGGAGAGTGTCACGGACCGTTGGTCGTGATCGTGTTGGCTCAATGATTGGGACGGACCGACTGGCTAGCTAGACGAGCGAGGCATGGGGGAGACAATAGCGTCAAGGGGAGTTCTGCCTTAGACGCTAAGGTCTGGCCGAATTGGGCATGTAGGGCTTGACTATAAGGGAGACGGAGGCGGATCCGAAGGCACAACTGGTCGGGAGCTATTGCCGTCCCCCTGATGAGCCCAAGGCAGGGCGAAACCAATCCGGTTCCGTATGAGAGCAAGGCTTGTCTGCGGGGGTGTGAGGGACCCCGGGACGCCGCACGGGCGCTGTGCACTGCGCCAGACTCTATGCCCGTGACAGTTTGCTCTACTTAAACAATACGTAGTAGTGGTTAAACAATAATTAAAATCAAATATTGCTAAGTTATTATTCAATTCGAGGTTCCACATGTAGATGCACGTATTGAAAGATGAATCATGTGAGTATCACAAATTCACAAAAATCTATGTTAGTTATTATGCACATCAACAATGCCAAAACATCTCAACATTATGTATAATAATATTAATTATATTGCTAGTGAAAAATATGGGTAATTACTAGAGTTTGTATATCGTACAGCCAGTTGTACGTCGTGCATTGTATGCCAGTTGTACGTCGTGCATTGTATTGTGAGTGACATTTTCAAATTTATGTGAAAATTGTATATATCTTCTGCTAATTAAGTATCAATTCATTTTTATTGATCACCATACATATTCTGTTTATGATTAGGAGTCTAAGATTGAAATCTCTCCTCCATATTAAGTTATTCTATAATCAACTCCTATGAATTTCAATGTCAATCTAATGTAATATGGTATTTTTGAGATATGCATTGATATGACATTTTAAAATGAGCTTATCATCAGTAAAAGAAAAGAGCATACGTAACTTTCAAAAAGTGCATTGATATGAAAATCGTGAGCTTTATAAGTTGAGCATTAAAACATTTTCATTGAGCATCAAACATCCTTTATTGAGTATCAGAAGCATATAATTGAGTATCAAATGGCTCATTTGAAATATGCAGTATGCTCAAATATACATTTGTGTATGCTAATTATTTTTAAACGTTATACTCATTGAGTTTGACTTACGTAACAATTACGGTGGTTCCTTTTCATCGATTTAAGTTGGGATTCTGAAATCAAAATATCCTATGACATTTTGGTTAACATACCGCCATCAGATGAGGTTGGATTCTTGATTGTTGTTTGCTCATGTCCAAACTTATTATTGTGTTGCAACACTGAGGGTTACCGTAAAAGATGACCGAATACTTCGCTTTGGATGTTTAGTTAGATTCTACCGTTGTGGGACTTGGGTTGTCATACGCTCCTGCTACCAGAACTACACAGGTGAACTCGGCCTGACAATGAACCTTGAGACATCGCTTGATCGCTGATAAACTTCCAGGCCTAGTAGTGCAGCGAAATAGAACTAGGGTTGGGCTGCATTATACTGAGCTGATGAATATGACGGGTTAAGAAATAACAGGCTGTACGTACCATGCTCAAGGTACAACCGGTTGTAGCATATAATTTGCGGTGATTACTAATGCCACATCATTATTTCATCATAGACAATACCATACTCCGTATATAATTATTACATATCCCTAATAGTTAATTTATTATCCACTATTTATGTTGATTTTGCATTGTGTCATCAATTATAATACACTTAATATCCATAGGGTAGTTTCTAATATAAAATTAATTACATTTTAAAACACTTGATGAGCATAGGATGCTTTCATCGAAAATCAATTTCATGTGATTAACATATCACTTTTAAACATGTAATATATGGATCTAAAATTATGAATATATACCTTCAGCTCCACAGCCAGTCTTGAGTACGGGCAACATGGGACTTTTGCTCAAGCTCACTATTTTAAAGGTATCCATAAATTATGTGTGTGTTTGTTATAAATGGATAATTATATTAACTGATAAATTCAATCAA